TTGGTGGGGGTGTTGTGAGAAAGGACACCAGTGAAAAACCGTCCTTTCTGGAGAATGAAAGTCATCAACTGATGGTCAATCAGAGCTTGGCACCATTTGGCACTAATAATAATAATAATTGCTTACACTTATATAGCGCTTTTTTCTGGACACTCCACTCAAAGCACTTTACAGGTAATGGGGTCTCCCCTCCACCACCAAACTAATGAGTTTTTTTGTCTCTGGCTCGCACTGCGATTCTTGTCCAGCTTTGCAGGGTTGTAGTAATGCAATGGCTTATAAGACCTAAACTAAAAGTTACAGTTTCAGAGTTTCAGTTTCAGCGAAAAGGCATCCCTCCCTCTCCCTGGGGAGATAGAGGGGGATTTGCAGAGATACAGTAATGCTACACAGCCAAGGCCTTCTGCAGTGGAAATCAATGCCTCGTCCTATTTTTTGGAGGGAATATTCACTGTTATTTATCCTAAGAAAACCAGCAGTACGTTTTGTGGCCTTTGATGTGCTGCTCATCAGCTCATGACGAGCTGGTTGGACTGTTGGTCGCCACACTGGACTTTAATATTTTTTTCTCTCATTTTTAAGCCTTTGTATAGATATTTTTTGCGGATGTCCAAAGCTGGAACTAAATCACCAGATAGCTTCTAGTTTAGCAGGAGTGGAGGATGAAGTTAAACGTGTCCTAGGTAGCAGGAATTAAATGGTATCCGGGAGGTATTTCCAGATGTTTATATCCTGCTTTTGCAGCAAGCCAGTTTACTGAAGGATTGTTTGCTCCTGATTCTGCAGCAGCAGTGGTGGTGATACAGTTTTCGTCCCCCAGGGTTAATCACACAAAGACACTCCATCCTTTAACCCAGAAAATCTCTTTAGAGGTTATCAGCAAAGGCACATAACCCAGAGCTCATAACACGTTTTCCTAGGAGCTGTGTGGAGATTTGAGAGCTGGGTGGAGTACTGAACTGTTCCCATCACGTCAGGTGTCAGCCAGCAGAGCAGCTTTCTGGGTCTCTTCCACTGGTGCCCGCTGTGACTGCCCCTTATTAATCCATCCCTGACATAGCGAGGAGGGCGCGACGCATTTCCTCTCTCACAGCCCCCTGTCTGCACACATTTACATCTCAAAAAGGCAAATAAGTGCCATTAGCTGCCGCACTTTAGTCTCGCTCTCCAGTCATTAACTTGCTTGTGCAGCTCTTAAGAAGTAAAGACAGGGAGAGAGATTGATGATTGCTGCCTCGTCGGAGAGGCCAGGCTCCCCGAGCACACTTCAGGTCAAACACTCCAGCACTCTCAGAGCTGCAGAGGGCACAGCCATCTGGCGGCCTGAGTGACCTTCAAGAGATCGATGGGTGAACCCGCCATTAGCAATAAGGGAGGATGATTGTAGTTCTGAAATGCATTGTTAGAGTATTCATCATGCATTGAGGTAGGAAACACAATCCTGAAAAGCAAGTCTCCTAGGACTGGATGGATTTTAAACAGTGAAGATGAGTCCAGACTGCTGAAACAGTACTGTATGTCTGCCTGCCTTTGGAAATAAATGATTTACTACAACAAGAGTTTTCTGCTTCCTGGGATCCATGATCGACCGAACTGGAGACTGCGGCCCTGAAATCAGGCGACGAATTGCGTTAGGCCGTAGTGCGATGCTGAGCATGCACCAAATCTGGAAGAGCAAAGACATCAGCCTCACAACCAAATGCAAAATGGTCCATGCTATTGTGTTCCCTATATCAATGTATGGGTGTGAAAAAAAGCTGACCGAAAGAGGATGGATGTTTTCGAGCTATGGTGCCGGAGAAGACTGTTACGGATACCATGGACAGCAAGGGTCACCAATAAAGAGGTTCTGGAGCGCATCAAGCCAGAAATTTCGCTTGAGGGAAAGATCACCAGACTCCGGCTCACTTATTTTGGTCACGTGATGCGATCAGATCCATTGGAGAAAGCAATGATGCTTGGAATGGTCAGTGGAACAAGAAGACGAGGCCGCCAAAGAACGCGGTGGCTCGACGCCATCAAAACAGACACTGGCTTAGGCATAGAACAGCTGAAAGAGAAAGTCCAAGACTGGAAAGCGTGGCGAGAGATGGCCTATAGAATCGCCAAGAGTCAGATCCAACTGACCGGATAACATCATCACAGCAAGAGATTTTCCTCATCCATTCTTTTTTTTTTTACATTTCATGATATACTGGAGGGTGGCACAGTAGCGCAGTGGTTCAGCATTGTTGCCTTGCAGCACTGGGGCCCTGAGTTCAGTTCCTGGGGTGCTGTCTGAGTAGAGTTCATTAACTTCTGAGAAAATGGCCCCGGTGCAAGTGTGTGTGTGTTTGTGTCTGTGTGGGCCCTGTGATGAACTAGTGTCCCACGTAGGGTGTATCCTGCCTTGCAACCTGTTGCTTGCCAGGATAGACTCCAGCTCCTCCACAACCCTGTATCAGATAAAGCAGTTAGAAGATGGATGGATGTATCGTATGTAACATATTCTGCCTTACAGCAGTTGCTCCAGTCTAGCCAGCTGTATGAAAGGGAACCAGCTAAATCCAGCAAGTGTACTTATATTCTGTATTCCTTTATTTTAACAAGTATGTAGATTGAGAACAATTTCCATTTACAACAACTCAGAGATGTATTCACACTGCAGGGCATTTACTGGGGCAATATGAACGAAGTATCTTGCTTAAGGGTGTAAGAATAGCAGTCCACAATGAATTCAAACCTACAGTATGACCCTCTAGGCCGGAACCCAAATCTCTGCTCCACACTGCTGCCTGCAGAAACACATCAGCAGCTTCACAAAATACATTAAATAAACAGTGCCATGGTCTTCTTCAGTTAAACTGACTTTTCTTGTATTGCAAGAATTATATTGAATCATGCCACACTTGTGGTATACAATATCTAGGATGGGGCAGCTGTGTAGTTGTTCAGTGAATTGTTCAAAACAATTCCAACTGTCGAGAGTTCACTGTTATATCATATCTTCTCAAAGCTGTCCTCTGTCAGTACATTTCCTGTCTTGCACCACCTAACAATTCCGATTCTGGACTCCTGGTGCTGCTTCCATGAGAGTGATAACACTGCCATCTAGCGTGTGCTATGTGAATTAGCAAATTATGGAGAAGGTTTCAATTGTACAAAAGTATCCATTTCTGATCAATATAACCAAGACCATGGCTTTTACTGTTATGTATTATGTATTTTTTTTATTTAGACTCCTTTAGTTTACTTGTCTGCAATGGACTGTAACTGTAATGGGAGAACAATGCATACAGGAACACTATTATTTATAAATTTTAAAAACATGTGAGAAAGTACTATGAATAAAATATCTAGTGTTCACTGAGACACCATTGCATAAATTCAATATTTTTTTATATGTGATCTCTTTGGGAAGGGTGTGTTATATACTTTTTTACAATTATTTATTCCAATTATTCCAAGGTTACAATTAGCTTTTCTCCTTTCAGTCTTTTTCAGTACAGTATACCCGTTACTACCTGGAGAGGCATAGACTCCTTTCCTTTGAGCACAATAGTCTGACATTTTGCAATGTCTGTTCCGTTATTTGTTGTTTTAGAACAAAAGCTCAGAAAATCAGAAAATCCTTTTATGGGAGTGATATTCACGGGTGGGTTGTTCTGTAATTTCAGCTAACAACATGAAGGCTTAGGTTGGTGTGGGCTGAAAGACTAACCCTGTATTGCACATATTGTACAATATTGTTCAGTTTAATGGAGTGTGAATCTGTGCAAATTAATCATTCTAAACATCTGCTTTTAGCCCTAGAACAATATTTACAAGATATGCAGGTATTGAGAGAGGATAAAGGGAGCATGGATCCTTTTGTTGTGCAAAAGGAAATTGCATGCATAAATGATTGTTTAAAAAATAACAAAATACAGCTTAGCTGTACATCAACCTATCTTGAGGATACTCAGATCGATAATTTCTCTGGGGAACTTTGTATGCAGAGATGGTACTGGAAGTGATGGTCTTTGCATGTAGGGAGTTATTTTAAAATGTATTTTTATTCACTACCTATGGTACAATCGCCCTTAATGGAAAAAGGCCATTTATTACACCATGGAATAAATGAGTTGCATAAGGAGAGCTGAGCTTTAAAAATGTTCTAGCTCTTGGACTAACAGATTGGTGTGGTGACTTGAGTTACAAAGAAACGTTAGTGAACACTAAATATACTTCAGAGCTACTTATGAAGTGCAGATTGCATTCTTCTCTTGCTTCTCAACGTCCTCAGCGAATGTGTGGTAGTGAGAAGGCTTCATGCCTTTTATGAAAATGTGTGAGGGTATACTTAAGCTCCATTAAAATTTGGCAATTTGCAATCCAAAGAGGGACATGTAATGCTTACTAAGATAGCTTGAAGGAGGGGACGTGAATGTGGATTTGAACATTAATTGCCATGAGCGCACCCCGATTTTTACCGGGAGGTACATTAGGAACAAAAGATGCCACTTTCAAATCCTCTGGATTTACTGGAAGAAGGGATGAGAGCTTTTAAGATTTTTTTAGTTTAGGTTATCAGATTCTTTTTAAAATCATAAAACAACGGATGGTACCATTTTCTTACAATAGCACAGAGCACTGACATGGCAATGCATTCTGGTGTCCGTAGCCTTACCTTTTTCTAATGAAAAAGATTTACTGTATGAGCCTAACGGTAAGAACCTTGTGCACCACCATAAGGGAAATGAAATAAACTAAAATAATCTTTGATTTTGGCTCTACTACTATAATGATTAAAGTTAAAGTAATATCCAACTTAAAACTTTAAAAGATTTTTTAGAAAATGTTTTTAACTTAAAAGATAAGATTGTATTTTTTTGCTGTTTTTGTCACAATTATGGGCTCGCAAACTGTTTGTTATAATATTTTAAGATTCTGAAAAAGTTTCCGTTTTCCTTTTTTCTTTCAAATATAGGTCATCACACAACATCCAGTGCAAAAAAAAATGTAAAGCTAACAAATTTTACAACCATAAAATGATTATGACTTTTTAATTGCTGGAACATAAGATAAAAACATGGAACAGATGCCATTACTTCAAGGAACAGAACAGACTTGAAAGCATTAACACTTGTTCACCCTCAACAACCTTTTGGAGAGCACAAAGTAACCCAAAACCATGCTAACAAATAGGCAGCTGTGCACATCCACATAGATCCGTGTAGTTCCATCTAGTGTAAATAAAAACACTTTTTGACCAGGATATCACAGCACTGACACTCAGACATGACAGCTCTCATCTTAACTCGAATAATTAGCTTGTACAACCTAGATAATGTTTTTATCCCGTTAAAATTTCCCACATTCTACCTTAAATTTTACTGCAATTCCCCAAAGTTCCTTACTCCTTACTTTTGATGTCTGTTGGTAACTTTAAATGCGTCAGATTAACTCAAAAAAGCTTTCAGATAGTACACCCAAATTTAACAAGCTTGACATGCAATTGTATTTCCAAGATACTTGTAGATTTTTTAAAGCAAAATGCAGGAAGTATATCATTACTTGCTTTAATTAAATAAGATGGCAATAAATATTAAATAGCTCAATAAGTGCCATGTTAATTCTCTCTTGTCCCTATCAGAATTACACCTTTGAGACCTCTGTACCAGGACAAAATGGACAGCTTATAAACCCGTCTCTTTCATGTATCCAGATTGAAAATATTCAGTGGAACAAAACAGAACAGCTGTGGAGTGTACTGTAGGTTCCGTTACCACCAATGAATATTTCACATGGTTCTGGTCAAGTTTCATGGAAGATAAAGGAAATGTTTTATGCTTCTTTACAAAAAGTTGCAAAGACGTAGGGAGCAGCAAATTCCTGTTGCTACGTTTACAGTAGAAATTCTAAACAAGTAAATGCCTGTACAGTGGAAATACGTGAATGATCTAAACAACAGTCAACAGTGATCAGTCAGAAGGTTAGAAGGACAGGATGGTCTTCTGGATGATGTCAACACATTCTCTGATCTCATCCTCCTTGATGATAAGGGGAGGGGCAAATCTGATGATGTCACCATGAGTGGGTTTGGCCAGCAGCCCATTGTCTCGTAAGCGCACGCAGACCTTCCAAGCATCATAGTCTGGAAACAACAGGTCCATATAAATATAGTATTATTGGAATAACAAAAACTTATAGCACCCTAGGGAAATCGAACTGGTCTGCTAAAATATGGTCTAATATTTGAAACTGCTTACAGCACAATCCTGCGTAAGAAGGAAAATTAGAGCTATGAATCTCAAGCATTTCCAAAAAATGTTTACTATATTTTTTTACATTTAACTCTAAAAATTCAAATGCAATAAAGATGTCAGCTGTGACTGCATCAGATGAAAGGCCAAGATTAAATGGAACAGTGGGGGTTGCTGGGGTCCATTACACTTCCTGAACCCAACTGCTTTTAACCTGTTGACATTCTTCCATTGCTGCGCAGGCTATGTAGGCAACGCGTTCTCCTTTGATCACTCCCACAGGTATGACCACAATGTACAAAATATGAATTCTCAAACAGGGTGGGTACAGTTTTGCCGGGATTGTCCCTGCATGATAATCAAAATGGCCCATAATCTAACGCAATGCTAGATCAGTGTGCTGCTGTAGAAGTTACAGCTTGTGCAAATCCCCTTCAGAAGATCTGCAGCGAAAGCAGTAAACTCACCCTTTGTTTCCTTGATTACAATGGCATTGAGAAGGCCTTTTCCTCTTACAGTGGTCACAATGTCATTGGGCAGCTTCATGAGCTCAGAACGAAGCAGCATGCCCATCTTTTCAGAGTTCTCCGCAAGCTTCTCCTTTTCCAGAACCTGCACATTGGGTGTAAAAAGTCAAACTCTAAGAGCTGGTGGATTTGGTAAAACTGAAACTAAACTATCAACAAAACTGCAAGATGATTATGCATTTTCCAAAAAAGAACATTCATAGGCCTCAGGAAGCACATATAGCAGCAGACGTCAGAACCTTGTACTGAAAGAAACACACCTCAAGGGAAGCAATAGCCACACGGCAGGCCAGCGGGTTTCCTCCGTAGGTAGATCCATGTTCACCAGGCTTAATGGTCAGCATGACCTCATCATCACACAGGACTGCTGAAACCTGCATTGACATGGTATAAAACTTAGGACTGACAACTGCGGGGGGGGAAAAAAAAGGGACAGTGGACCCTATTTGCTACAGCTCGTTTAAATGGATCAGGCAGAGTTCTATGCTCCTAGCTGGAAATGAGAACCATTAATGTATATTTCCAAATAGCATGCAGGACCATGCCTGCTAAACATGCAATAAAAAAAGCTGTATATTTTCTCATGCGCCAGATCACTTTAGAAAAATGCTTGCTGAAATGTCTGCAGCACAGAACAATAACCAGTTAACTCCGAGTTCCATCATCAGATATGTAAATGCTTGGAACATCTGGTGAAAATACATTTAGCTAAATTCAGTCAGTTGGCTTTAGAGTTGCCACCCAGTCTTTAGGACAGACCACTGCCGAATATGAGAGACTCACGGGATAGACTCCTCCAGACAGCGCTTTTCCCAGCAACACGATGTCAGGACGCACACTTTCGTGATCAACAGCCAGTCGGCGCCCTGTCCGGGCAAGTCCTGTCTGCACCTCGTCAGCAATTAAAAGCACCTACAGCCCAACAATGGAAAGGAAGCTTCAGTATCAAGCCTACGTCTCTTTGCATACATTTACCTCATGACATGAAGAACAAAAACACTTCAGGACCTTACAGACTAGAGTTGGCTGTTATTTCTGTTGAGATGTCATGCAGGTAAAGAAATCATCGACATCTCAGTCATTGGGCAGAGTACAACTATTACTAGCATCCAGAGATCTTTTTTTCCCTTCTTTCCCCCCTGCATCAGGACAGACTCACGTTGTGTTGAGTGCAGAGCTCCCGCACTTTAGTCAGGTACCCCTCGTCAGGAACAATCACCCCGGCCTCCCCCTGAATGGGCTCCACCATGAAAGCTGCCACATTCTGATCCTGAAGAGCTCGCTGCAAAACGGAGACCATCCCCTGTCATTTACCGGCTGTTTATATACCCAACCACTCACTGCAAGAGTCCACTGGCCTTTCGCTTTATTCAAGGCTGGCTTTTCCAGATTACCAAACAAGCAATGCTTGTAAAATGACAAGAGAACAGCAAAAATGGGAATAGAACTTGAAATACGCTCACGGTCTCTACTTTGCAACTTAGGTAGGACTAGCATGAACACCAGTTAGAAGAAGGTCAGCAAGTATCTGACAGACTTCTTGCTGTGGTTGAAAGAGACAATAACCCTAAGTGCTAAACTTACTGGAAAGGCAACAATTCTGAAAGGAAAAAAAAAAAGAGGGAAATAAAACAAATCCCAATCTTCCGCAAGCCAAGCAAAAGCGACACTGCTGTGAAACATCACTCCCACAGCTATGGTATGAATCTTAGTCCGAGCATGAATATCTCCCTTCACCCTGCATGATGAATAAGGCCAGACTACAATCTACTGCCGATTTTGTGTCTGCTGTTGTGATATACACTCGCAATCAATGCTACTTATTTTAACATGACAAGACAGTGTTAATAGAATTTAAAAATGAAACCTACCTCCAGTGCTGGGATGTCATTGTAAGGGACGAGTTCAAAGCCTGGCATGTAAGGACCAAAGCCTTCATAACTGCTAGGATCCGTAGAACTGGAGATAGCTGCTAAGGTACGCCCCCAGAAGTTGCCGACTTTACGAAAAATAAAACAAGACATCAGTCTGATTGCAAAGTTCCTCTAGTCACAAAAAGACCTCTTCACTGCGTTACCCTAGACTGCAAAATGAGTGCATTAAAGATTAACTAAATTTACCGATTATCAAGGATCTAAAAATACTGAAACAGCTGGTATTCTATCTGCAAGGAGCTGCAACGCAACAGACTGTAAGGGAGATTTGGAAGAGAGTGCTCATTTATTCTACCTGATGAAAATCAACCATGAGCAGGAAAAATTACTAAATAGCTCTTGCCATCTGTTGTGATAGCATTGGATCAATTCACAAGTGTGCTGGTGGTGTGAACAAGTCGTTTTTGATGTAATTTTACCATTAAAAATTAAATATAAGTATGTTATGTAGTCTTTACAGTAAAAATCACATTTTCACAGTACACAAATTCTGTATTATAGAGCTTATTATAGAGCTCTCCTTAAAATGTTTCACTAGTTGTCAAAATATGGTCTTCCTCTCACTTCTAACATCTATGTTCTATAGGCTGTATTCTTGAAACATTTCCCAGCATGTTAAACGAGCACCCATTTCTTCTTCAGTAAGGGATACATTTTCAGGATACTAATCTACAAAAAGATGCGAGAGCCTGCTTACTTTAATTCTGAAATGTCAGTAGTTTCTATTTTCTAATTCAAAAAATGGGTGGGGAAATTAGTGTCATGAAAGTTTTAGGAAGACAGCAAGCCTTTTAGAAAGATAAGAAAACTACAGTGTATTAAGGTTTTCAACATACCTGCAAAAATAATCTTTGCTTTATATTTTGGAATGTCCTTCACAGTGTATGCCCACTTTCGAGCCAGTTTGCACGCAGTTTCACCAGCTTCCACACCTTAAAAAAAAAAAATTAAAACGTACATTTATCTGAAAACCATCAAACAGTGCAAAAAACAGACTCTTCCACCATATCCTGTCAAGGGCATAACTCTTCCTTTGCAAGTCTAGATATACATGAGGGCATAGATGAGGCACCAGATCAGTTGCAAGTTCAGCATGTTCACGGAGCCTGTGCACGGGCGACGCATACCTGTGTTCATGGGCAGCACCTTGTTGTATCCAAAGAGCGAGGTGATGTACTCCTCATACTCGCCCAGCACGTCATTGTAGAAGGCCCGGGACGTCAGAGTCAGCTTAGAGGCCTGCGAGTTCAGTGCCGAAATTATCCGAGGGTGGCAATGGCCTTGGTTCACAGCACTGTAAGCACTGAGGAAGTCAAAATACCTTCTTCCTTCCATATCCCAGACATAGATTCCTGAAATGATTTCACATACAAAGAATTTTCACTGTAACTGAACCGAATACACTGGTCTTCAACACGTTTAATAAATGAAGGGAGTACACTCCAAAACACTTATCAGAGCTCTCTATCAGATGAACAATATCTAGCAAAACCTATTTGTTCTTATTGTTTCAAGGTGAATTAGTCCCAACCCCACCCACACTGTTCCCTATCCATAAAGCCACAACATGTCTCAGCTTTGATTTGCTACCCCAGCACCAAGATCATGCAAAGCTGGGGAATTACACTGTCACACCCTCAAATTATTCTACACTAAACATTTAAAGCAAAAGGGAATTTGAGACTGTCTCACGAGATTTATCTGGTACCAAGAAGCCTCCCGGAAAGGTCAATCCAAAGTCCAAATCCACAAACACTGCTGGCTATCAGATCCTAACATGTCGAGCTCTCTGGCCTTAAGAGTAGGGCACTGAGATGTTGGATGATCCTTTTGCTTTCAGAGAACAATATGGAGGTCAGTCACACTCCAGTGTCCTGCCAGGTACCTCGCATTTCTCTGAAGCAAGAAGTTTTCCAGCAGAGGCCACTGCAGCTGCACATCAGGCCAGCAGCCATATCACCCTGCAACTCACAACTGGCAACCCACTAAAGCAGGTGTGAGCCTGGTCATTAAAAATCCCAGGGTGTTTCTCGAAAAGGGTAGGGGTGTAACCCCGGCGTCCTGGCCAAATTTCCCATTGGCCCTTACCAATCATGGTCTCCTAATAATCCCACTCTATGAATTGGCTTCATTACTCTGATCTCCTCCCCACTGATAGCTGATGTGTGGTGAGCGTTCTGGCGTCACATCATCCAGGTGGATGCTACACACTGGTGGTGGTGGAGGGGAGTCCCCATTACCTGTAAAGCTCTTTGAGTGGAGTGTCCAGAAAAGTGCTATATAAGTGTAAGTAATTATTATTATTAATAATAATAATTAATTAATAATTAATATCTGCCTGCCAGACTGACAACAGGTAAGACATGGACCTACACCATTATTAGACGTCAAGCAGGAGACCCGCTCTCCAAATGGGCCCGTACCTTCTCCACGCTCCAGGGCAACAGGGAGCGGGTGGTAGTTGTGTGCGCCATATTTCTCCTCGCGGGCGTACACCTCCTCCGAGGATAGAGGGGGATCTGTCCTCTTCTGCTTGGAAGCGGCAGAGGAGACGGGGCGGGAGGCAGCGGACAAGCCCCGGCCCAACACCGGCCCGGCCCGGCACACACAGCGGCTCAGCTTGGACAGCATCGTTCACCCTCGCCTGGACTGGAGCTCTGCAGCCAGAAGGAGAATAGCACAACTGAAAACAGAACGCAGGCTTTCGTACTCAAAGAAAGGATGAAATCCAAGACAGAAGTGCAGAACCACGTGCTTCACAGCTCCAACATTTCTTTCTTTTAGTGCAACAAAGAAAAAGAACTGCAAGGCCTGTACTGGTGGCCTTTGTATGAAATTTCATCTGGTCAGCAGCAACAAGGACAAACCCTGCACAGTAATTGCAACGTGGCACTTTCTATTCATGTCCTTCACAATAAAGGTGTTGAACACCATCAATCTATAACTCCTAATTAATCACTAACTTAAAAACTTAAGGGTTTAAAGGTTCACTCTTGCATGAGTTCTGCCTCAAACAACTTTCCCTTTCTGTCTGTTTAAAACAAGTGCCCTATGAACTCCTTTCAGCAAAGACGGACATCACATGAACATGTCAGAGCCCACTTTACCATCTGAAACATTGTTTTGCACTCAGTGCCCCCAGACTAATCAATTCATATCTTTTAACACATGGCCATTTAGTTTATCCCTATGTGTAACTTTCTCATAAACTTATCTGGAACAGCACCTTTCACATGTATTTTAAAGTGTGTTTAGAGAACTGCACACACAGCACTTAATAATGCCTGAAGGACATCTCCTGAGCTCTGCATTATGCTATCAAGTAGTCTCCTAAATGAGAACAAACTTCACTCTGATATCGGTTACATAATATAAAAATACTGACAGTGTCTGTGCTCTTTGATATATCCATTACGTGTTTTTCATTTAATTTGACTATTTCCTTAAAAGTTACATACAAAACAGAATTCAGTGAACATGCCATTTCCACTTCTCCATTCCCAAATCCTACCCCTAGTACGGATACAAACCTCTGGATAAGAAGCTGAAGGGCATCTCCTGAACTGCATGCCAATAACTACAAATACCTTTAACACAAACATTCTGCAATTAAATCAGCAGAGATATGACACGGTATTACCCACAAAACCATCTGAGAACGCTTTTATGCTGTTATTTACATGTTAAATGCTACACAGTCTTTGTTTTTGCCTCCTTTTAAGTTCTTGAGAGCTATAATGAGAGAACCAAGTAACAGCACCGTTAATAGATTTGAAAAATAAAGTACTCAGCCCCATGAACAATTAATATCCACATTTTTAAAAGTGTAAGCTTTTAAACTGCACAGTAAATTATTTTTCACACAGCTCAGCTCTAATGGCTTCGAGCCATTACAAAAGTTACAAAAACTGCTTTTGAGTCGGGTAAAATATTGGCAAATCAATTTAAATAAATTTAAGACACACTGTCTAAATAATACCTTTCAAACCAAGATGAGCTCAGTGATTCGAATCAAATAAAATCCGACTCTCTCATGTGGTGAGTTTTCCTGACTGAAAGGTGCACTGGAGATCTTCCCAGGTTTATTATGTCCTGGCCCTGAGCAAAATAAATATTTGATAAGTCACTTTAACCCTGGTTAAGTCTGAACTGAAAGATGATAGGCTGCATCAGCATTGGCCTCCCGTTACACACCCCCAGCAACAGAGAGAGGAAGCTAATTTAAGACGGGGTCAGACAACATGTGAGTGTCACCTCCCACTCAGAACTGGACTTGTCAAACTTAGCAACAATCATTTACCTTTTTCTTTTGTAACATCTTATCCTACCAAGGGAAGGACCTGTATCCATTAACACTGAAAAAACTCATCATAACAGCATGTGGACCCACATATCAGAAATAGGACCTGGGCAGTTACAGACTTTAAAACCCACTGTGGTAATGACTTTGTATACTGTACAGCTCGAACAAGAATTACAAAGAAATTGCTAAAAAAGCTGCTACTGCATGCTTCTAAAGTTACGATCCAACTTCCTCATGATGGCAAAAGATCCTAAGATGTTTAAGTGGGATGATCCAGAGTATACAATTCTCCAGGGAATGTCTGCAAAAAATCAAAGGCATTATTTTGGACAAAAAAAACTCTTGATGAATTAGAAATTCATCTACGGCCACAACTCACACTCCTGGTCCCAGAAAGGTACAGCACAGCAGGTTTTATAGAAAACTACGAAAATGGCTAATATTCACTTTAAAACCATGCAAAATCAGGCAGCATGTTCAGAAGCCCCTATACCGTGTGAGGAAAACTAAACAAATCAGAAGTCATTTTAGATACGGATAAATCTGTGAGATAAAGATAAATGTTTTATTTTGTCATCTGCCTCGATCGCTCCATCCGTAACACAAACCTTACAGCAAGAGATCTCATCTTAAAAATCAGGACAAGCTGTTTTCCAGAAAAGAGATTGCAGGTCTTTATTCATTTCATGGTGCTTTCGTAATGAAAGTGGTCAGTTCCAGCGCTGAACAACCTAACAGCGCTGCCTTTTCCCAGCACTGAAATCTTTTAAACCGAGTCTGTGTTTGTTTAACGGATAACATTCGGAACGAATATTAATCGTAGCAATGACTAGGTTGAGTTGGCGGCATATTAAGCCCAGAGGTGCTAAAGCCATCAGACTTCAGAGTACTAAGCTGTAGTAAAGGCTGGCACAGCTCGTCACACTATGCAGCCGAGTACGGCCAACTAAAAAGCCAAGCCTCCACGTGTGAATTTGAGAAAGTTAAGATGAATGCATGTGGAGAATACAGTATATAGACGGGTCAGTTTAGAGACATGTAGACAGAACGTTTCAAATCCGAAGACACTTAACGCTGCAAGTGAAGATAGCCATTTGTTATCTCTATCCGTCGATAGAGAGCTCATCTACCGACGAACTACATCACGGAAAATTACTGCATCAGCAGGCTCTGTAAGCCTCCTACGTCAAATCCGCACATGAAATAAAAACAGAAAACGTATATCATACACTTATAACTGTGAACAAACTGAATACAGCTATTTTTCCCTCTCTTATGTTGCATTTTGGTTATCGGTCAATTCAAACTAAAGCAGTTAAGTAAGGAACTAAAAAATTAATTTGACAGTGGCACTTACTAAATAAGTTCCTGATACCTTGTGTTCGTATATCATCCCATCTGTATTAAATACCTTAATATGCGATAGTGGTCCTGTTGATTTGTCAAATCCACAATCTGAAGTTATACCACTGACCCGCACCCATCCAGTTCCGCCAGTTTTTCTAGTCTCACTAAGACGCCGGCTCAGAGATGACGTAAGACGCATTTTTGCGTGATTTAACTGTTTAACCCCTGTTTAAAATAATGTACTTGGCTCGAAAAAATATTGCTAGTATAGTTTTAAGATAGAGAACAAAGCTTACTTAATCACGTAGACCTTTCTCCGTATTTTTATTATTTTTTCTGCAGATGTATACCTAAAAAGGGAAAAGAACCACAGGGGTCTGAGTATACAGTACATGGGGTTAAGTTACACGTGTTACCTACAGAAAATTAATACTTGAGACGTTATTTGCATGGTTCACTGGATTTTCCCATAATTAAGAAAAATCTATATTTATATATTTGAACTGTTTCTTCTTATAGTGATAAGGAGAATGTGTTGTTCTAAAACACAAGGTAAAAGAAAGCACAAGCATTCACGCACGTATTTAGGTGGACGTTAGTAAAGTATGATGCAATATACAAATGTATTGCACAGGCATAGTCTAATTACAGAAACTATCACTGTGTTTGTAGTTCTCAGACTCTCTGACATTAAGAATCTTTCTTCGTAACTTTTCATCAGCTGCTATCATCTTCCCCCCGAGAGCTGTCAAAATAATATTCTCCTTAAGAATATAAAGATTGCGTCTAAACCGAGATAAAGAAATACCCAGACTTTCACAAGTCTTATTATATAAATATTAATCATATATGTTACATTAATATGTATTCGTTGCATAGTATTTTTAAATCTACAACAGTGATTAAAAATAAACTGAGTTATTAGCTCAAGGCTGCGAAAATGAAGCATTTTAAAGTCCACAACATTTTAAAAAATGCGGGCGTGAATAGAGGCTTATTATTGTAGTTGTTTTGCTTTCTTTACTTGTATGTAGAGGTATGATGTAAAATTATTGTACTTACATAAATTATACAGTTGTCTCTGGAGAGGTGTCCCAAGCTCAACAGGCGCTGGTGACGTCACCGAGGTTGTGTACATTAGTGATGCACTTAAAGGGGCAAAGTGTGGTAACACGTAACAGGTGAATGCCGAGTTATTGATCTAATAAGTTATTGATTCGCGCACACTGTTAGCATTTCGAACCCTATGCTGTGCTGTCTTGGCCCTTTTGTTACACAATATTCCCATGAAAAAAAATGACATGTAACATCACAAAGATCTTAAACCTGCAGAATATATGCATTGTTATGTTCTAATGCAAATCTATAAATGACCTTGAACTTGCAGAATATATGGATTGTTATGTTCTAATGCAAATCTGTTACTAAGTATTCTATATTTTACGGAAATGACTTTTAGTATTCTTCATGGGGTTTTTACATCTTAGTGTATGTTCTGTAATTTTGCATTCATGGGAATGAGATCATCTAGATGGGAAAAATTAGAAGACTACGCATCAGGCTACGCATAAGGACAGCTTCAATCAAAACACGTGAAAATCTGATGCGACGCATCAAAGTTAGTTCCTAGAAATTATAGTGTACTTTGTACACCGATTTTGCATTTGAACCTGGAGGTATAGAAGTTACTGTAACTATGGATAGTGCTGATTTCTAAGATATGTTTGCTGTTGGTTCCGTTGTGATGCAATTTTAAGTCTGCTTTGACTGAACAAGGACAACGCCGCATTGTCGGAGCCAGAATAGGAAGATTATACTGCACTGACGAGTAAGCCTCACTGCATGAGTTTAAACTCAGGGTATAATCAACGTGGAAAGTGCATGACATGCACTTGTTACAGTGCACTCTTTTACAACCCTTTCTGAGAGTCATTGGTCACTATTCATTGTACTGAAACTCCATTTTAGCTTTATCATTCATCCACTCTTCTTGTGGACGCAGTATTTTTTATTCTGCTGAACATTGAAAAAGATGGTGAGATCACGTCTACTGAGGTTATCAGAAATGCAAAGCGGATTCCGTACAATTTATAAAAAACAACTTATATATGACGATATTTCAAAAAGACAATATACATTTTTATATAAAACATCAAGAGGGTCTAGGATATAGTTTTGTTGTGGTCGAACCTTTCCAATTGTAGTCGCCAACTGCTGTTTTGATTTCCCTTATCGTCTAGTGAAGAAAGTGACCTCTTGTTGTACTATGGCATCCTAGGTGTTATTTAACGACTACTATGAATAAACAAAGCTCAAAAAGCAAAGGTAAAAAAAAAACTCGTCACATCTTTGACATGAAAGATTCCTTGACACAGGTGTGTATTGTTTATTTACAATAACTCAGTCATTGTTACAGTTTTTCACAAATCCTGTTTGATATGTCAATAGGGTATGTTGATGGTACAACACAAAGACTTTTTCGAGTTCAAATTACAAATCTGTTCAGTACCCTGTTGTCAATCATAAACTCGTTCTTTCTGGGCAATGAGCTCCCTCTTGTGGTGAGAATGGTCTTCACGCGCTCCTTTTCCCCCCTGTTACACGGCTTGTTTTGAGAATATTGTAACGCCGGCGGTGACGTCACCCGCTCTGGTACGCCGGCTCTTACACACGGTGCTTGTCGGCCGTAAGCGTTACAATATATTGACTGTTATACGCAAATACCAAATAAAACCAAGACATATCCTGATGATGATCTGTTGTAGTAGTTTCAATTTCCCCCACGATCTTTAGTCGAGCATCTTTACAATTTAATTGTAAAGACGTTCCATCGTAAGAAAAACTATTACTTCGACAGTTTTCCATATACTCATCTTCTGGCGGTTGGTGGCCTTTAATTTTGATAAATATTTGCGTTTTTCAATTAGAAAGACAGGCGATATAAGCCTTGTGGAAGATGGGGGGGGCATAAGTGCAGTTTCAATTATTTAAGTTACTTCCACTTGTTTTCCATTTAAAAAAAAGTAAAACGATATGACTTAGTCGGATTTCAACACGAGGCTTTCGCTTTATGAAGGTGTTTTTGTAGGCCTATTAAATTCGACATTTTGTAACAATAGGAACAAGGTACTAAATGACGAACCTGCTGAAACGTACTGTATCCGTCAGCAGATTTATTTATTCCTTTCGGAAACAGCACGATTAAATCCCTCCTTGGTCCCGTAGCAGTTGAGGAAAAAAATATACAAGTCCAAACGGTGTAGACTCCATTCAAAGAATACTGTGTAGATTGTATTATTCTAATCCAGTTTGTGACTGTACGATCACAATTACTTCTGCAAATCCCCTAAATATGATTGCAACAGGGAAACTGTGTTATCCGATAGGGGTCAAGAACCACAGTACAATTTTAAAACAATAGTAAGCATGCTTTAGCAAAAAGGTAGTAATTACATCAGAACAATTTCCTTCCAGTCAAGGGTGTTTTCTGCCATTAACGAAAATTTTAAGACTTTAGATCTCATGATTACAGAGCAGCACAAGTGCTTACTTAAGAAACGATTCAATGATAGCGATTTGCGGATCGAAGTAACTCCTAGTATTGGATTTTTTAAGATACACATACAAAAAGTTAGACTTCATTTTCATCAATGTTATATATACATTTATATATCTATGAACAATATATAACATGTCCTGTCCTGACATGCCGACAAGTCCTTGTGTTTTCTTGCAACAGTTTAAAAACGTTTTCATGAATGCGGGGAGTAAAATGTTGGTTGCAGGTATCCAGTGTGTAGAAAGGAATTCAGAAGACCCCCTGTGGACGACAGTGGTACTGCGCCGGCTGCATGGAAAACCACGTTCCCAGGACTAAACGTGTGGAAAGTTTGGAAATTAATCGTACCTGACCCAGAGGGGCCTGGGCTCGAAGTGACCCGGGACAATGAGTTCGTTCCGGGCTGAATTGTGCTGTCAGCCCCTGGGTTTTGCTTCTTCCACTTGGTTCTTCTGTTTTGAAACCAGATTTTGACTTGAGTTTCAGTAAGACTCAGGGACAAAGCGAGGTTAAGGCGCTCACAAACCGACAGGTATCGTGTCGCCCGGAATTTATTCTCTAACGCCACCAGCTGTTCATATGTGAAAGCAGTCCTGGCCCGTCTAGGCTTGGCACAGCCGTGATCAGACCTGCGTCGCTTCTGCTTCGTTTGGTCTACATCGTCGTTGGCCAAACTATCAACATCGTAGCTGTTGATGTCTCTGTCCTCGCTGTGTCGCTCGAGTGAAGTGACGTTTTCTTGTCGTGTTAATGATGTCCGCTCAGAGTCATCTGCCTTGTCACAACCTGCCTGGCCATTCCGGTCCTCTCCACCTGCAAGTAAAAAGCTTCGTTGCATTACATGTAGCGACACAAAATCGCAGGGTTTATTTGCACTATGATTCAAAATAAAAAAACGATTATGCATAAACGGTAATCTTAGTGCTTTCTACAATAATTTGGATGGGGGGTTGTGCCAGTGTTAGCTAATGCTAATGTTAGCTAAATGCTAATTAAATATTACAATTTTTACTTTCCATTCATTGTATGTGTTTTTCAGAGAATTCGCTGCTGTAGCAAACTCATTTAGGTTTAGATCCGTTGACGGACACCACTCTCGTCAACTGGTTACGGATGCTGGGAAGATCAAATCTTCTGCCTCGCCTATCAAGACTGCTCCAGGCTGGGGGGGGACGTTGTGCGCAATGTCTTAAACTAGGACCCATAAGGCCTGGTCTGAGCTTGTGAAAAATGCTCGTGTACATTTCTGAATAATTGTACGTACCACTGTGCCGACACACAGCGTCTGTCGCACTTCCATAATACAGAAAGTCTCAAATGCTTGGTCTGATAATCGTATTGATTCAAAACAGCACAAAAACATCCACTGAACTTCCTTTGCAGTTTGTTAGATCATCATAATAAATATCTGTGATGGTAATGGTAAAATAATTCAAGACGATTTGGATTAGATGGGGTAGGGGAAAATGGAAAGGGGTCAGTTCAGCGATGGTGGTATAGTAATCCCTAAATTATTTATAAATCAGAAACCGCTCTAAATGTCATGTTGCGGAAAGCAATCCAGACCAAATCCAGCTTCACCATCTACCCCTGACGTGCTAATGGAGTTTCATATTTGGTGGCAGATCGATAAATGTCATCTATTAAAGGTAAGTTTTAATCGAACAATATTTAGGATCAGACATGGATGGGGTCTGAAGTTTGTACCTGCAAGCTGTTCGCAGGAGATATGCAGGAGGCAGTAATGGGATATCGATCAAAGTGAGCGGAGGCATCCTCAATGGGACGATTTAAACAATTACCCGGCCTGACTGTCCCAGTGCCAATCGCACTGAAGGTACTACTGAACGCGAGTTCTTTAAAGGAAATTCTGCAGCAAAAATAGGAAGAAGGTCACGTACGAGCAACCAGCGTTAATACACGAGCATCTTGAAATTGGTCCGATAAATATCAAAGACTGCTAAGTCTAATAAATCGAAACATAACCAAAAGTATTCTTTTCCTGTTCAAACGGTATAATTACTAAGTGTCTTTTTAGTATTTTAAGGGAAAACAATCTTATTTCCTGTTGGGGGCAGAGGGGTTTAACAAATCATTACTATAATGAGAAATTGACTAATTTCGTAGAGAGGATTGCAAAGAAGCAGGAATTCTTTTTAAAAAACTATGAACGACAATTATGACTTATCACAGTACTATATTCTGTAGTATGGCAACTATTGTTATTTTGATAGTTTTGTGTTGTCCCGTTATTTCTTACCCGAATCCTTGTCTCGAGAAAAGGGGTCTTCATTAGAAATGAACTCTGCGGGTCTTCCCAAACTTTCCCTCTCGGCTGCGTGTGAAAACTTCTCTCCGGGTGAAAAAGAGATCGGTTTCTTACTGGTGAATTTGTTCGGATCCAGGATGTCTACAATAGAGAACGATATCCTGTGACAGGGTGTCATTGTGACCCCACGGTCCTGGTACTCCAGCATAAGATTGGAACGATACAACTACCCTTTAAAGTCACACTTGCAAGCAACTGTTTACAAAACGTAAACTTTTATCTTCTTTTCAGCGTCTTAGAAAATCTGCCTTCAGAGATGCGCGGGGTGTTTCAAAGCTGTTGGCAGGCTGTCTGCTCTGTCAGCATAGTGTTCCTCTTCTGACACCGCCGTCCAGGAGTGATCAGAGAAAGTGGAGCCTGATCTTTAATCCGCTCCTGTCTCCCAGTGCGCTGCTGGTAAAGGTCGATTTGAAGACGCGGTTTCTGTTGTCCACGTGGTTTGAATCAACCAGCTACTAGCACCCCAGTCAAGATGCTTATTAATTAGCCTTAATCAGTGAATGCTGTACCCCACGTATTGAGGCTGCACCTTTGCCTGTTTCAGAAAACGTTGTTATTAATTTAATTTGGAATAGTTTGTCTTTTTCCTCTAATCTTATCCGTTTGGTAATGGTGGGGGTCATCGATTAATAGGTTTGATCTTTTTTTTTCATTGTGTGTTGCACTTCTTTTCTTGTACTGTATATCGTGAGCATACAGAATAGTTATGTAGGGCTTTAGCTACGTCGAGATATAATACATAAAAGCTAAATCAAGACTTAAATTGATGACTGTAGTCAAAGAAACGATAACTTATTTTCCTTATGATACAAGAACAGCGTGTGCACAGCAGATGTTTATAAATAATACATATTGATCAGGCATTCATCATATACAGTATAATGTACTATATAATATACTACATTTAATATATAATGCATACATATATACTATATAAAAACAGCAATCTTTGTGAACTAATAAAGGTGAAGAAGAAACACTGAAACACATTGACGTTATTTCGACTATATTTTAGTTTTAAATTTGTGCTTTGTGCTAAGTTGGGACTTTAGTTATCCGTTTAGAGTTTTTTTTAATCCTTTTTTAGCATCCTGCTATAGTGTAGCAATTTACTTTTTGCAAGTCACAGAAACGGAGAGGAATCAAACCCTTTGTGAAGATATTGTTTATAGCCATTAAGTCCCATTAATAGTCTTTATTGGACCTGTAATTACTCCATCAGAATTTAAACTTTTTTCATGGATTACTCTTTAATTTCAAGTTTTCAGACCGAGTTTAATGTGCTGTCACCAAAGTACCTATGTACCTTAAAGAGCTGTTGCGGATCTTTCTACTACGTCGTCTTTGTAAAGACCGAAATGTGAACTTCCTGACCCATGCAGTTATACAAGACTTTCTATTACAACCAAAGCGCTGATCGTCGTCCGCCCTTTCCTCTAGGGTTTAAGGACAGTAACAGTTTTTATTGCATAATCAATTAATAGATTTAGTTGACCACTGAGATTTCTGATTATTTAAAAAAACGAGCTTGCTAATATGTTTGGACCCGGACCTTCTGTATAATTAATTAATTACTATGTGGTCCCAGTGCATTTTTGGCTAACTTTTATGAACTGTTCATAACACCTCACTGTCTGCTGGCATCCAGGGTAGTGCCGTGTAAGTATGAACTTTTATACCTCTCTGGCACTTGGTCAGTGTGCACACGAACCTTAAAATCAAGAGAGAGCAGCCTGTGTTCGACAGCCATTTTCCCTTTAGAGCAGAAACGTATTTGGATCACAAGTTAAACAGAGATAACCTGGTGTTTTTGCCGGATCTCGTTTTCTTAGATTACATTCAGCATCTCGAGGACTGCGTGTATTCAATTGTTTAAGATTTTGGGGAAAAAAGGATATATAGAAGTTTTAGAAAATAATTATACATATGTTATTTTTAACCCAGGCTAAACATACAGTATGTTATTTGGGGGGTAATTAAATTCCTAAGGATGAATGAGACCTCATTATCTCAAAGGCCTCTTTAATCCTCACTTAAAGACTCTGCATCCTACAGTACATTTTTTCCTCTTTCTGCTCTGCCATTAGAATTCAGCCAAGTGCACTTCTCTCAGTGCTTTGGTGCAAGGTGGTTTTAAGCCGTGGCTTGTCCTGATGGCAACTGATGGCTGAAACAACCACCGGATCAATATTCACAGCGGGTGTCCGGGACAGATAACGCTGTCCAAGACAATGCGGAGTGTCGGTGGAGGCAGCTGAGGTATTACACTATTAGGGATGTTGTTTTAAATAACCTGCTCCATTTCTGGGTCTATTTAATGCATTTCACAGTAGATGGTATCTTGAGGAGAGAAGTCCAATCCTATTGGAGGCGCTAGGTTATGTTAGTTAGAGCCTGTGGTTCAAGAGACTTTCGCTCTCTGTGTCCAGAGACAGAGACCGTGTGCCCGGGAGACGGGACAGACCACGCGTCAAAATATGTCTTTAATAAACTGATATTAAACTGTGTTAGGCGCTGCTCTTAGGAGATGCAAAATTATACATACTGCAAATATATTTCACAAGATTATACTATTTTACACTCAACCTCCTCATCGGATTACGCAGATAAAATGTTTGAGGTTTTACTTTATCTATTTCGACAGCTCGCAAAAAAATAAAGAAAAAATATTTTCGTTGTTGCTGTTGCTGTTCAACAAATAGTCGTCTTAGACGTTTTCTGTTTGTCATTTTGTTCCGAAATATATAGATTGTCTGTTCGCTGTAATGTTAAAAATATTTTGATGCTAAATCAATGTTATCTGGGATGAAACACGTTGAATGGATATTAATGTAACTTACATCATCCAGGTGGATGCTGCACATTGGGGGTGGTGGAGGGGAGTCCCCATTACCTGTAAAGCGCTTCGAGTGGAGTGTCCAGAAAAGCGCTATATAAGTGTAAGCAATTATTATTAATAATAATAATTATTATTAAATTGTGATTCCATCTAAACACAGCAACTATTGGAAAACTACAGTTCCCATAATACATTGGGGCCATCGTGTGCTGCTTCGTACAGAGTAGTCGTCGTAATGGCCGAGGTTGGGTGGGAACATTGCATTAAAGACTTGAAAGGGGTTGTGTTAGACATGTGTGGCGTTTTATATGACAGCGGGAAAGGAGGAGGAGTGCCTATTCCTGGCTCTATAGAAGCGGTTAAAAGGTGAGGGGAGCGCTTTGTGGATAAAGATTTTTCAAGCATTTTTTGGAAGTTGGTACCGAAAGAGGTGGGCTGAGTAGTAGATTTTTGATGACGTAAGGACGTTTCAGCGCAGGGAGACGCCGAAGTTTTTACATCGTAGCCTTTACAGCTTTATTTCTTTTTTTAACCCATGACACTTAAAGAAGCGCGTTCACGATTAATTTCCTTGCAACCACGGTTATAAACGAGAGACTCCGGTGTCATAAACAATTCAATGTTGCATCTGCAGGTGTAATTAATATCCAGAGGGTAATGTCAATGTTGCCAAGATTAATAATGTTTGTACCGTCCTGAAGTGCTCATGTACGTATTGGATCGGTGGGATAATGATTTTGCTTTGAATCAGAGATCAGATTAAGTTATTGAAAAGTAGAAAGCTGCTATTTAACATGGTCATTCTCACTCTAATGATATGTTAATGTTGGAGTCACAGCCTGATACTGAAACAGTTCTCAGATTTGTGGAGTAAATCTGCTTCCAACCACAAAGGTTGCTTACCTCAGTGGAAATGAAGGATATATATTCTTCTGATAGCCATGGGGAAAATGCTTTGGTCTTGCCTCTAAGATTATCAGGGTACCCCATGTCTAATTAGCTGGCTGTTAAGCAGTCACACAAATGTTTCATAGATCCAAAGTGCAGATCATTTCCTCTCCTGTCCTGCTTTACATGTATATGGTGGGGTGTGATTTAGCTTCTGCATGAGGCCAGCAATTGTGAGTTGTTGTTTCTAGCAGCTGGAAGCTGGTATGTTACAAGGCACAACGTGGTTAAACATCAATAAACCCTTCACAGCAAGGGTCTTCTTATTCATCTGCATTTCCATCTGTATACCACTAGTATTGGTTGTTACCTGGGGATCCATTTCAATAGGCAGTGCATGCTGGAGGTTTACAACATCCTGTGGGTGACTCTGTGTAAGGACATCTGTTGGCAGAACCTCAAACATAGAGCATTGCTTTTCAAATATTAGAAGGGCAGGTACTAGACATCAGAGGAGCTGGAGGGTTTGTGTCCGGAGCAAAAAAAGCCCTGGAGCCTGATGGCCTGGAGATCACAGGCCTGCACAGCAAGACTCCTTGTGTCTGAGGACACACTTTTCACCAGCTTGGGCTCATAAAACGGCCCCAACACCCGGAGCAAACCAGTAGAGGTTGAAAAGCATTGGATAATTTGTCTGATTACTGCAGGTTTGGAATGGTACAGCTTTCTAAAGGCAGACCAGTTTGATGCTTTGTTACTATCTTCCTCCTCCCCAATACAACATGGAAATACATGCGCAGATCTTGCACAACATCTTCCATCAGATCTTTATAACATGTCAATGCAGGAATCACAGCTTTGTATAATAATAATAATGCATACAGGGATAATCCAGATGGAACCATCACAAAACATCTTTGTGTATTTAATCTATTTGCTTTATTCTGTTGGATCCTGAAATAAAAGACAGAATCGGCTATTTATTACTTAAAAATAAGTCATTTAAAAATATGTTGTAAACTATAGCATAGATGCTACAAATTACTCACTAGAGAGTTAGTTTTCATGAGCATATATTGAATGGTTCCTAGGGAAATAATTGGGTTTACCTTTCGTCATGTGTGTCTGGGATGGTGGTAGGAACAATCACATTGTTCTTTGTAAGGCTGGAGACTTTGCATTTCATTTATCAAGTCGCTTTAGATTCTTGACAATAGAAGGATGGGTTGAAAGCCATGTTCTGGCTTTCTTGCTTTAACTTGCTTTTCTGATGTGTAGGATGTTAGAAATGCTAAACTCTTTCAGATTATCGTTCTAACCCTGTGCATTACAGTACTCTTTGTTCTGTATTAGTAGATGATAACAGTCCTGTGACTCCTTCTCCCCCCGGGCTTCCCTGACGAGGCCTTTTCCGTAATGGAGAGGTGACAAACAGGTCACCATCAATTACAATGTGATTACTAGTCAAAGTACCCAAAGTGTTAATTAGTCATGCACACTCTGGCTATTCAGGACAGAGTTAATAAGTGGCAAAATGTTTAAATGCTGTTTTCTACTTTAAAAAGCAACAAATGTTCTCACAAGATGTGCCCGAGGGAAGGAAAAATATCTTAATAAGAACAAATAACTTTTGAGTGGTGAATGTTGGACTTCTGAAATTGCGAATGCTTTAAACGCCTGCCTAAGTAACAGTTACTGTATGTCTTTTAAATAGCTGTGAAAAGTCACATGCATTATGGATTTATGCCATTTTGCGGACAAGCAGAAGATAGGATTTTAAACCTTGTACAGTACCTTATTATGAGTTCTGTTTACAGTTTTGTCGTTCAAATACAAGTGGCTGCTTTTAGATTGCCATTTGAAAGACAAAATTCTGAGCAAGATCTTTTCTGACTTAAACGTCCTTGTCATTTAAGTCCCTTAATGACAGAGCCCAGATGACAGATCCCACTTCCCTTTTCCTGTAAATGTAGCCAAAACGTTTTGTAATCATAGAAACATTGCAGTGCCAAAACAGAGGCTGGTCTTGAGTAAATAACTAGCTCACCTCCCAAAGAGAGCTTAATAACTGCTATCCAAAAAGCCACGATCTTGTAGAGGAGTCTCTTCTTAATTCGCCTCCCTTCACCACCCGCACAGGGGACAGTCGTTATGCAATGATATTTGTGCTGCAGAAGGCATGGCATTACTGTGCCGAAGGATAATGGAGAACGAATTGGACTTGACTATGCCATGCTAGCTATTTTATTTGGCATATTTGTAAAGCTATGACAAAGCCACAAGCAGATACTATCCATGAGTTTCACATCAGCTTTTCAGTGCAGTCTGGTCATGTGGATTTTGAGGATTGCTGGTTTTAGTTAGGTCCTCACAAGGTCAGTTGTGGTGCCCAGTAATTGTCCTAACACTTTACCTGTTCTGGAACAATAATGAGAGTTTTTCATTATGTGCGGGTGACTGAACCTGGCAGATGCTGACAGCCAGCAGATGTGTAAAGTTCGAGGTGATTTGTAAGGGACCGGCTCATCTGAGGCAGGGTAATTACATTGAGGGACACTGTCACTCACAGCCCTGGTCCTGTCAACATGAGGTAAAGGTCAGTTCAAACCACACTTAGGTAGCTTGGCAAAACACATTTTTAGGAGAAGAGGAATGAATATCACTACAATCGATCTCTGTCTATATTCCTTTTTTCTCTGCATGCAGTGATGACAGTGTGAGAAGGAACGGCTCAATCTGTATTGGCCTCTGCCATGTTTAATATTCATGTTTTTTCTCAGGTGTTTTCAGTCTTTTACAGCTGCATATATGTAGCTGCTACACCTCATTGGTCAGGCCTTCAGTTGCAATACAAAATAATTTGAATAGCATCTCTGTGTAGCCTGCTGACTGCAAGGACAGGAGGGATGTTTTGTTTTTATTTTGTAGTTTACTAATGCATGCTTTTTAATGACTTAATGATAAGTCACAGCAGGATATTGTTTATCTAGCAATTTATATTCTGCTTCCTTTAAGTAAAAAATAACGGATAATAATTTGTTATCGTGCAAGCCGATATAATCCCTGGTAGTTTAGTTCTCCTTGACAGGTTTTTGAATACATATCTTGCATATCATTAGAGTATATGGTATATATAAATACAATGCCTACTTGCCACAATATTAGAAAATTCCCTAATAATGGGTCAGTTCACCTCCAGTATAATGCAAGGGTGGCTACAGCAGCATGTCATGGCATTATTGCTGCTGATTGCTGACAGATGTCCATGGAGCACTCGGCAAACAACAGCTAATGATGCTCGACAGGTGATGTGGGTGGGTATTGGGTCAGAACCATTATGGTGACTGGGGACCACCACGAGGCACTCATCTTTGGATGAGACATTAAATTGATGGGCCTGAGGTCCTGACACATGTTCATTAAAGATTCCATGACACTGTTCTAAAGAAAAGAGGTGTTAAGCCCAATGCCCTAGCAAACATTCCAGTCTGGGCTTCTACAGTCTGACTTTCCTGTCTTATAATTCCTCCTTAGGTCAATTGGTGAATCAGTTTCTCACTTATTGTTGATATTATTGATAGAGGCTTAATGTGAGACAGGCCACAGCATTAGATCTAGGGGAGGTGTTGTACTCTTTGCGTAATATATTGAGAAACCTGTCTAAGTTTCCTGGCCTAAGACACTTAAGCTTGTGAAAGACAAGGAAAATGAAGTCATGGGTTTCCTGTGGCTGTGTGTAGCCAAAGTGGGACTGTATGAGCATCAAGGGTATTTTTTTTTTATCCTGTTGAAAAAAGAATGGTCTCTTATACTGTATGTAAGAGAACTTGTGTACTGTCAAACACATTCAAATCAAATAGGATTATTATAGAGCCTTTAATCTTTCTTTTATAGTTGATTATCATCCAGAACCTTGTTTAAAGTTAGTGTTGGTAATTTAGGTGGACACCATTGTTCAGAAACAAATGAATAAATACATTAAAAAGAGCACGGCCACTTTCAAGTTTAGCTTTCTGCAGTGTTCACCTGTTCTAAATCACACTTAATGCTTTTCAGATGCATTTGTCCCTTATAAATATTCATAATTGATTTTATTGGTTACTTTAATTGATTTATGTTGTTAATTAGATTATTGATTTTTTAAGCTCTAATATGAACTTTAGGATGGTTTGTTTGCTCTGTGCTTCTTCTTCAGAACTATGGATAACCATATTCTCTGCTAATTAAACATTTTATTACACTTATTAACCAGGGGCTGCAGAATTACCTTCCTTATAATTTACCGTGGTAACCTTTGCTGAGTGCAGTGGCACGAGTGCAATAAAAATGATAATCAATCACCTTGGGCTCGTACACAGCTGTAAACATCTGGATAAGGAGAAGAGGGTCATTGGATCTTTTAATTGGCGCAAGGTGATGAAGACATCATGTCCGATTCTTAGCTGGCTTCCTGATCTGCGTGCCAGTGCAGAGCAGAAAGTTCCGCCTTCTTTACTGATGCAAAGGTCTTGTGTTTACAGAAGCAGATGTGACTTACTGTCACTCAATTGTGGCATTAATTGCTCATTGTTCTGAGAAGGTCACATCATAATTCATTAACAATAATTACTCCCATGACACCCTCTGCACTTCTTCACTCAATTGCTTCATTAAATTACGAGCAACTATCACATTTACTGCTCCAAACAATGAAGATGTATTTGTAATGTAAAGGCGAGTGCATTTAGTTACATTATATTAATGGTGCAATTTAAAGCAGGAGAGCTCTTTTTATGAAGGGCAATTAACCACTAACCATAATTGATAATTCACACTTATTACAATTAGGAAATATAAATAGTGGGAAAAGGATTAATCATCATTTTTGTGGAGTGTGAGAGAGAGAGTGGATTGAGAGTGTACAAAGCAGATCTCATAGTTATTCATCTTACTGTAGCAAGCACTCCTTTGTTCCTTTCCAGTTTTGCATGGCCTGTTATCTTTTGTCGTTTTTTCGTTAACCTTGATTATATCAATTAAAGTCTCTTCCTGCTTATGAAGCAAGCTATAGAAAGCCACTTACTGACTTTGTTAGAATATTTTAAGATTTCATGTGGATTAAGTCGTGTAACATTTCTGAAGTGTGCAAAGTACGTGCATATTGAAACAAGGTACAAGGTAAGAAAATTAGCTCTGTCATCTACTGGAAATGTTGCTTAGGTCTTACTGCTTTGTTTCCAAGAAGCAGGCCCGTAGTTTGCTATAAATCTAAGGAGAAAGTATGCAGATTTGCTTCACTTCTCCAGCCTGTGAGCTACAGTAGAAGAGTTGTCCGATCAAGAAATCCCATTCTTCACCATGTTGCCGTTCTCCTTAATCCCTTTGATTTTTTGGGATTTCATCTTGTTCTTCAGTCTTCCCCCCTCCCCCCCCTCCTCTCTCTCCTCACCACTATTATTATTCTGGCCAGAATCAAGGCGTCTGACCTGAAGCTGCGGTTTTGCACCAACGAGACCCAGGCCACCAGGGGGCGCTTTGTGGCGAAGCTCCAGAAGCTGGGATTCGATATCTCCGTCAGCGAGGTCTTCTCCCCGGCCCCTGCGGCCCTCAGCATCCTGGTGCAGCGCGGCCTCAGACCACACCTGCTGGTGCACGACGGTTAGGAAGCCGAGACCTGACAGGGCACACAGAGACAGACACAACCGGTACCGGCCCTCGCCTGAGCACTGGATGAGCTCTATGATCAATTTGTCTCGGGTTTGAGCCAGGGTCATGTGATTAGCCAGCTGGGACCAGTTTCCCCACAATGTTGGTGGCAGTGGGTTTAGTCGGACAGGGTTCTGTTAAATTTCAGTAACACAGCGACCCCCTGTGGCCACCGAGGCACTTGCAGGCACAGGGTGCTGTTGGTTAGGGATGTGCCTCTCCTCCAGTCATCACTGACCCGCTGGTACTTTGCTGTATTACTTATGACCTCATTACCTTATTACTTGTGATTCTCACCTCATTGTAGAATTTGCAGCCATTGGTCCAGATGTGAAAAACAGAGTTAGCTGTTCATAATCGCATGAGTATAATGAAAACAATAGTTTGTGTTTCTGAATTGAAAAAAGACACAGTGAGCTAGCCTCCAGCCTGCGTGTTTTGAACTTTTCAACTTCCTGTTCGATGTAGTTATTTATGCGTATTGACATAAAGGACTGACCAGTGTACAAGCAGGGAAAAATTGATTGAACCCTTTTTTTGCAGATGTTTTGCCTGAGTTTGATGAGGTAGACAAGTCAAACCCAAACTGTGTGGTCATTGGAGATGCAGCCGATAATTTCTCCTATCAGAATCTCAATGACGCATTCAGGGTTCTCATCGGACTAGAAAAGCCTATACTTTTTTCCTTGGGAAGAGGGTAAGTAGTAGAAGAGTTAATAATTTTGTGCACCCCAGTATCTTGTTGAGCATATTTTTAAGGATGAAGACTTAACAAACACCTAAACCTTTCAAAACATTTTCCAAATAGTCGCCCATATTAAAATACTGTGTTCAACGAGTGCATAAACAGTATATTGCCATAGTGATTGGCCAGTTCTGTTTGTTCCCAAGAGGCTCAGACCTTGGGTTCTTGCAGTCCAGTGCTGGTAACCTCTGGGCAGAATCCTGTGCTGAGATAGTGGACTAGGATAGTGGACAATGAATTCAGGGGCCTCACAGTCAGTTTGCACTGGACTGGAACCAGTATCAGTGGAGTATTGTGTGCACAAGCTTATAGAAATGGGAGTGATTTACTTTCAGCATTTGTTTTAGCTGGGACAGGAGAATTGGCTGCATAATTTCTTATGTCATGCCAGTGTCTGAAAACGAGGCTGTTTACTCCACATGACAGAAGGTTAATGGCTGTTCTTACAAAGGTCAAGGTAGGAGGCAGGGGGAGAGAACCATGTCTGAATAATTGAAAAAGCCAAAGAAAAATAAACCAGAAAATGAGAATTAAGACAGCTCCAGCCCCCAGCCTTTATTTTCTGTTCCTTATTTTTTTAGGCGGTAGGTCTTGGCCTCATCAAGGTAAGTCTCAGATGTGAGAAATAGATGTAGGTCAATTCTTAAACCCAACAGAATCTGTGAATTGGAGCTTAGAATGACCTAAAGATCAAATGCAAAATATTTTATGTAAATGGTGATAACCATCACAACTATCCACCCACTCTTCATCCTTTTCTCTCCCTCTCCCTATTGTACATGTCCATTTTCTGTATTTAACGGAATGTGTCAGTAACTCTTTGATGTAAATAAATAACCTTGAAAATTCACATGTTGCTTCCAGCCAGCTCCCCTAAATTAATATCACACAGTATCAGAAACAGAACAGATGTTTTCATATTGCCCTAGCTAATATATTGTATATATTTCATGTCCAGCTATCCGTCAATCTGCAGTGTAATTACCCGTAGCTCTTACTTTTCACCATAAAGTGTAAAAATAAATGGTCATATAAATTCTTAGCCTGAGTCTTATTGTCATTTTTCCAAAACCCACAATTTCCCGTGTTTCCTTCTGAGTCCAGTTGTTTAAGCTCTTCTGTTTTTCTCGTTTGCCTTCAGCCGCTATTACAAAGAGACTGATGGCCTGAAATTGGATGTTGGGGTCTTCATGAAAGCATTAGAGGTCTGGACAACTCTCCTGTCACTACACTGCACTAGTACAGGGAACTGGCTTCATTGTAGTTGAAGAGTACATTTCATTGAAGAGATACTGGTATAGGTGTCTGCATGACTGGAAGGAATCAATACATTTTCAGAAAAATAAAAAAAATGTCAGACCAGATATTATCATGTGTTGTAGGAATTGCATCTGTTTGCATCTTCAAAACTTTATTTTCTGTAATTTTTTGGAATGCAAAGTTAATAAAGTCAGTTCTTACAAACTCCTTGCACTTAAGGGTTATGGGGTCTTTGAATAGCTGGTTGTATGACATAAGGCCACATACTGTATGGGTGTCTGCTGCCCTGTATTCTCTGAGTATCAATCCCGAGCCCTGTGCTGGTGTCTGTTTTCCAGTATGCCTGTGATATCGAAGCTGAGGTGGTGGGAAAACCAGCAAAGATGTTTTTCCTGAGTGCTCTGGCAGACATGGGTGTTGAACCTCATGAGGTAAGAGAAAGTACCAGAATTACCAGTGTGGGGATGGAGGTGAGTGAGCAGAGACTTAGAGACTGACGTTTAGGCTTACAGTTTTTTATGGTGTTGCACTCAGATTTGTACACCTGAGTACCCTATGCTAAATAGATTGTACACTTTTGTAAAATACCCCATGTGGCTGTTTGTTTTATATGATCGTTGTGACTGCTTTGTCTTTGACTAGGATTAAATCCTACATTTTTGTAAACAAAATGGTAAATTCTAATGTATTTCCTACTTTTCCTGCTTCATCCAATTATCCCTGTTTCCTTTTAAAAAAATAATCAATTTTGTATTTATTCGAGTGTTACACTGTTAAGGTGTTGGCATCCTGCCCCAGGCTGTAATGATGTAATTGCTATACTGAGTGTTAGATCAGTGAAGCTGCTCTAATCAATAAAGTCTTCATCAGCCATTTCCCTTGATGATTCTCCCTCATTCAGCCCCTAATTGTTCTTTCCCTTGCACAGGACCTGTTCTCTGAGCACAGTGTAATAGGTTGTTCCCTAAAGCCTGTGTTCCATTTCAGTCTTCCCTCAATAGGCTTGGAATAACAGATTGCTAATGTAACTTTTTAACACATTGCTGACGGAACCTGTCTCTTCAAACCGGCCATGACTTAAACATAGATTGATCTCGACATGAGCTAATCCATTCCTAAGCAAGTGTAACTTTCTAAAATGTCTGTTGTCTTCTTTTATTCAAGGGCTTATTAAATGGCCGACCCTGAGCCGTTTGTGTGTTGCTCTAATAGTCAGGAGAAATCAATGAAAATGCTCTTTTGGTCACATCAATTAATTGGGAAGTCTGGAGCTTTAGATTGTTTTCTGAAAGTGCTTTAATAATCTGCAAAGCAAGGTTGGTTTTGGCATGTAGAGTATATGTTTTTCTCTTGTATAGCCAAATTGATTGTCAGGAAACAACCAGAAAAGGAAAGCTAGATTATACCCTACTGCCACTTGATTTATGTTTTATTAGTGCTAAGTGGAGGTGACAGTTTTTAAGTTCAGAACAAGGAGGCCTAGGGCAAGATTTGAGTGGGGTTCATAGTCTCCTTGGTGTGGCCAGAAAGGTTGTTGCTTAAAATTGAGCAAAGTTATCTGGACCAAATGAAGATGTCTGGAAATGAAATGGAAGCAGGTTTGGTACTGTATTAATGCAGGAGGAGGCCATTTCTCTCACCCATGCTGGATCTTTTTCAAAGCTAGAATCAGCCAAGGATTTACTCTTGTCTGAGTCTTAATAATACATCCTAGCTAGCAGACTAGTAACTGGTGACTAGTGAGGAAAGGACCCCCAGCCACCCCAACTAACCCTGACATTGCTAAGATAGCACTGGAGGGGGGGGGGGGGCAATTTAGGTATGTGGCCATAATTCTAGTTATAATTCATAGCACTAGTCCTGAATACTAAGGGGAAACTTTTACTATTCCATTCTCTCAGGAGCCTGGTCATCATAAGTTTCCCAACATAAACAGATGATCTGGACCAACAGAATGCAGTGTTCTGGTCTGTAGATTGAGCATGCCTTAGTATCTGTTCAGGTTGCAAGAAAGAAAAAAACAATATTTTAAGTTCAGAGGACATGCAGGGGTGACACTGCAAGTGTACAAATTGACCTTATTTCAGACCTTTCATTTATTTAGATTTTTCTGTTCTGATGCTTTCCGTCAGGTGATGTTAAAAGCCCACTTCTGACCGTCCTTCTCTGACTCTGTGCTCCGTATGGAAAGTTAAACGAAGTCTAGATGGCTGGCTGTTTTTATTCATCATGACACAGCACCTCCTGACCTTCATCTTCTAACCAATGATTTTTTAAATCCTAAATGATTTGGGAATAATTGCTCCTCCTTTAGTGATTATTGCCCTTCACTGATAGTAAATCACTACAGTCCCCTGGGGCTGGCCTGCAGCCTCCATATGCCTCTGCCTCAAGATGGCTTCTGCAGGCTTCACTACTCAAGTGGAGCCTGACTACTCCACACTACCGTCTCCTGTCCGCTGGAATTGAAAAGCATGGCTCTCGTACAACAGCTTCATCTTCACCCCTGGAAAAAAGGTCAACATCTTATTTTAAAGAGAGGTTCGGGAAATCTGCTAAGCCTGCTTTTTTTTCTCTTTACCCTTAAATGTCACTCGTATATCTTAGGATACCATAGCACAGGGATTAATCAAGGCCTTTCCACAAACCTGGAAATGTCAGAAATGTTAATGCAGGATGTGGTGCTTGCAGTGTTAATTTTTGCTATTAAACTGATTGTAAAGGATTTTGCATTTAGTTTCCTAAGACAGAGATATTACTACAAAAAAAAGATTTTTATTGCTGTTCATTAAGAGCTACAGCACCAGTGGTAGGTGTACATGAACCTACCTGAACCTGCTGGAAATAAAACCTAAAAACGAGAGAAAAGTTACAATGCTCCAAAAATGTATTAAAATAAACATCAGTGACCAGAGGTTAATTTTGTGGCTTCTAAGTGAGGTATGTAGTATACAAGGAGTGACTTTAATAGTTTTTTCATGTCTGGTGGAGAAATACTTATTGGAGACACCATCTCCTTGAGCTTGGTATTGAAGCTTCTATATTTTCTTATCAGAGATTAGTAAATCAAGCTTTTTTTGGGGGAAGAACACTTATCATTACAGAACTGCTCATGCTTGGAATGTCGGCATTTCAGGTGATATCCATCAATACAAAACAAACCCCCTGTGCGCACACAGTAAATTCTCCAGGTGCCAGTGAGATCATGTCTAATCTGCAGCAGGACGATATAGAGAGATCAGGTAGGGTGTCCACTGTGACAGGGCGCGTGAGTTAGTGCTGGAGCGCTGTGCTGTCTGGCAGCCCCCGGGACTCTTTCTCTTTCCCCTGACAGGCCCTCATGATCGGAGATGATCTGGTGAATGATGTCGGTGGCGCTCAAGACTGCGGCATGAAAGCTCTGCAAGTCAGGACAGGGAAGTACAGGTCAGTGCATTCTGCTCTCAGACTCATACCACACCAGACACCCGGCTTGTGGTCTGAACTGTTGCTCCTTGGCTGTGTGGGTTGTGGTCGCCACCTTGCTCACAAAGTGAGAATTAAGCTGTACACAACAGGCACAGACTCCTGCTGTTGTCTTGTCATTGTCATTGATGTCATTGTCATCAGGCTGTTGGCTTGTCATTGAGACAAAATAACAAAATTCATTTTACTATTTTCTTTTCATAATAAGTGCTTCCTTATCAGGCCAGAGTAGGCAAAGGTAACAAATGTTTTAAATTAACTGTGCCTTTAGAGGGCACTCTAATCCCAGACTTCCAGCTGTTTTATTTTTCTGTACTCTGCAGTTGCCTGTCTTCCCCAGTAAGTTTAATGGTGCTAAAGAAACTGTATACTTGTTGGGTGTTCCACACTGTACTCATAATAGTACAAGTCTATTTTTGAAAACCAGGTTTCAAGGGTTTGAGAGTTCAACTGTAGCTATTTAATTGGCAAAGATTTTCTTCCTTGCTTACCTTTTATATACTGTATACACCCACCTAGTTATGATATTGAAAAGCTGTTTTGTAAACAGTCCTGGAAAAGCAGAAGAAATAAACTTTCTCATTCATCTTTACAACACGGGAAATATTGAAGCCCTGATTTCCAAAGAGAACATTATATCACACCTGGAAATGTAGAAAAATACAGCTCACATTCTGAAAACAAAAAGGTTAATGTGAATTTAGCTTTTGATGAAGCTGCTTCAATGAGCAGAATAACCTTTTCCATGTTTATCACTGTCTACAGCATTATAAGAACAGTGGCAGTCAGAAAATCTAAGGTTTATGAGAATGTGAGAGACAGAAGCATAGAGCAGCTTTCAAAGATGTGTCACGTGATTGGACTTAAATCACTATCTTGTGCAGCTCTTAATGAAACAACAGTGTCCTCTGGTGGCAGCATCAGCAGCACAGAACTAAACAGAACAGAACTGAACTTTCTCACCTACTAAAATGGGACTTTTCTGTGCACAACTATAAAGATTTAAAACTAAAATAATGTACTTTAAGTGCTACTTTGTGTGTTCTGGTTCTGCAATCTATTATACTCTTAATAAAGGCAATTGGGAACTGGAAATTTGGAACCATTGGCTTAAAGAATCAAATATTTTATAAGTGCTTTCTCATATTGCCTGACAACTGAGTAAATTGAGTTTCTACTGTTGTACTTTAGAAGACTTTAGTACTTTAGTAGACTTTGTTGTACTAAATATACCCACTTAAGAAAGTACTCCCAAGAGTAAACCTGCATTATATATTAAAAGCTTTTGTAAAGAAATATATATAGTTTGGAAAATATAGACAGTGACAAAGTCTGTAATGGATGTAGGTAGTGAGTACTACAGATGTGGTGCTGCCCACAAGAAGGCTTTTTTGAAAATTGTGTAGGGCATGGTCTTTAGTGACTTTTATATTGGAGGGAGAACCTTTAAGTCCACCCCAAATTTCACACACAGCCAGCATATTCTATGGAGGAGAGGGTATGGAGTAGTTTTAGTTTGCACACAAGCCACAGAGTCCTGGACGCAATGGGTGTATTCGGAGTGCTGTAGATACCAACTCAATGTGTACAAGAGCCATTGGCAGTACAGTGTGTTTCACTGGCCTACAGGAGAAATTGTGCAACATCCTGAAGAATAACCACAAAGGAGTACTGTAAATATGCGTACCTGACAATTTATCAGCAGGGCTTTGTGGTCATGTATTTTGTAGGTCAGAATGGTGAGAAGGTGTGGTGTACTTTTGGTTTCTTTTTTGTTTGCACCTACTGTCACATCAATAATCAGCAGAACATTTCTTGGCTACAGTGCACTCCCTGGGAGCAGTCTACCTGGCACAGCGTTGATAAGCTGCTTGTTTCTGTTTGTTTTTTCTGGCTCAGGTGTGGCGTTTTCTGCATCCCAGCCTGGCATTGGGTGAATTCAACTTTGATCAGGGTTAGATCTGTTATTTCTTTACAAGAGGGATTAAAGCAACAACTTATAAAATATGAAGTCATCTAACTTCACATCATGACTGCAGCATTTTTTTTTTTTAGTCCTCAACTGACATGGAAGAACTCACCACTTTATTTTTTCTGGGATTTTTTTTTTTCTAATCTGTGTGCGTGCAACAAAAACATAGCCTTGAGTGTAAGGTGGTTGGCTCAGGTCTTGCATGATGTCCAAAGAACAAACCTCAGAAGGTTAAAAAAATGGTGTGGAGCTCCAGAGTGGCTCAGCCAGTTAAGGCCCTTGCTCAGCTTGGAGCCTACGTTCTGTGGTCCACACATTGCCAGTTTAAACCTGGGCCACGTCTTTATCACAGTGTGATCGGGATTTTTTTTTTCATCTGAGCAGTTGGGCGGACTGCACTGCTATGTTTTAGGGTGCTGCTGAGACCCACTTAGGTGGGGAAGCACTTCAGTGGTGAATGGAAGCTATCACTATTATTATTATTATAATACATTTCCAGTCCTACACAGGGTGTTTCCTGTTGAATATTGTTATCTTGGCCTGCTTGGCCTACTGTAGGTTAATGTTTGAAGGTTAAATTAAATTAGTACCGACTATTCACTTTCTGCAAGTGTGAAATTTTCTCCCTAATTTACAAACTTGGCGTTGGAAAGAACCACTGGCAAGTTAATTTGATTTCCAATGACAAGGACTGAGGCATGACCGGCAGGATTCTTGTTCAGAGCCATAATGTCTGCTTAACCTACTGAGGCAGTGCTGACAGTAGCCTACTCTGGATTATCAGATCATTGCGTGCGGGTGTCTACCCCCTAGTCAGAAGGTTTAGGAGCTGATGTCAGTCACCCTGAGTAAATGACAATTGGTTGTTCAGATCAGCTTAAATGTTTTTACCGTGTCTTCTTACTATGCAACACCTTGAATGAAATCTGTGCAGCAGACTTTCAAGTTGAGCCGAAAAGTGTATCTCAGAATTTTACAATCCGATTTCCTCATGGAAGAAAAAGTTCCGTTTTAGTTTAGAGGAAAAAAATGAGTTCAGTAAGCCCAGTTTTCCCTGTGGATCAGCTTTATGCAAATTGGGTTTCAGATTCATTCTAATAGTTGTATGACTTTACAACGTTTGCTCACACAGAAAATAAGGAGAGGATTTTTTTTTCTGATAACTATGTTTTTTAATTAGTCTTTTCAGTAGAGTTATCTTTCAACAAGAGTTTGTCATGGAGATTTTTTGTTTAGATTTTAATGCTAAGCAGAGTGGAAAAGACCACCATGATTTACACACTTTATTGGTAGGTAAGGAATTCCTGTGCAAGCAAATTTGGAAATGGGCTTTCATTTCAAGATATCTTTAAAGTAATTGTGTTAAGTAATTTACATCTCAGGCATTTTAATTTGTCTCCTCAGACAGACCAGTTTCATTATTCTTCTGAAAATATATTGCCCTTTATGCCCTATGGTCCATGTAATAAGGTCTGTCATATGACACTATGAAGTTATATTATACCATATTATTTTAAACAGAAATGTGCCAGAAATGGAGAAACCTCCGTAACTGAAAGTACTGTACACCAATAATTAACCCATTCTGAAGTCTGATAAACAGCCACTTATTACAGACCTAATTGATATATTTGTTTAACTGGGCCAGACCACTGAGATTACAATCTCATATTGAAGGGGCGCCTGCACAGGACGGTAGCCTAGTTTAAACTGATTGCAGTGTTTTTTTATTCTTTCTAATTGCTCTGGTAAAAGGACTTTTAACAGTTCACTTCAAGTTCAATGGTTCCATTCAAGTGTCGATGTACATTTCATTTAAAAAAAAACACAAAAATAGGAACACTTTCTTGTGTGTTAGCAATGTGTTAAAAGAGAGTTGAGGGGCAAGGAGTTTTTTTAAATAAGACTGTCCATGATTAAAGAAATGAGACTTTAGGCCCAGTTAAATATCATCACTTACATGGTATATAACAATTGTATATTGTATATGATAATTACTATCTGAATGAAACACCAGTTGTCAGCTCACATGCTGTATTAGTTGTTCCCTAACCCATTTACAGTCACCTTACTGAACATAATTGCAGACGTCTTCCAGAATGTTCTCAGAGCTCTGCAACACTGCTTTCTGTTTAGTGTGCACGTTTTGAATGTTTTATCTGCAAAGAACCATTAAATCCTGCCATACAGTGCACAACAAGCTTTTAAAGTGACCTTCTGACTTCTGTAAAATGAGAATCTCTGTGCTGTGGCTGGACTTAATTACTTTTTCATTGTCTCTACATGGACAGACAGTGACCCCCAAAGCACCACAAAAATTTGCCAAATGAAAATGAGGTCTTGAGTTGTTTAGAAATACTATTTTGGGATAGGCATTCACTGAGGACAGAACTTTTCTCCTGGCTGATGTTGTGCGTGAAGTGCCTGCTAGCACAGGACTGCTGTTAATGGTGTTATGTATTTGTAAGTTACAGTTCCACAGTGGTGAGGATCGGTTCTGCTGTCTGTACCAGTTCCAAAGTCTATACTTAAAAACAGAACATTTTTGCTTTTTTTCCATTCGTTTTTTAAAGAAATGTTTCTTGCATGTAATTTCCATTATATTTGTTCCTCTTTCTTTAGTCAGAGACAAAATACACTGTTGTGTTTTACATCCTCTTCTTAATGGCCTAGCAAGTAAGTGGGGAAATAAGTTCCGCCTGAAAACATTTTTCTGTTTCAATTTTTATAGTTAGATATTAGTCTTCACCTGCAATATTTAATTTGTTATTACTTTTATAGGAAGTCATAATGGAAAGTTTCTAACGACATTGTGGGAAATAAGGAAACTGTGACCAGTGGCTGAGTATTACAAAACATACATACAGTCCTCAGTTCTAATAGATTCACACACTCAGTGGTAAAAGAATGTAGCCAAAATGAAGCCTTATAAAAAAAAAACATTTTCTTTGTTAACTCGAAACACTGCCTGACAAGGAACATTGAGCGT